TCTTCTTCTTCTTCTTCTTCTTCTTCTTCTCGATCGCATCACACTTGAAGTCCGGTATCTGTCCTAAATTGGGCCGTCCTGCTCAGTTCATCTGTCGGCCCGTATAGCTTCTCTTGTAGCGTCAGTGGGGTTGGCCACGTGTCCTGTCTCAGGGCCCTGTGTGTCTTGCAGTGCTGAAGGATGTGTTCAACAGTTTGGTCCGCCTCTTCACACTGGCATTTTGGGGATTGTACTAGTTTAAAACATCTGTACATAATATATGTTGTCTCAGTCTTGTGTGTTGTGTTCTTAGTAAAACTTTTCCTGAAGTGAAGTGTCGAGAGGGTCAAATGAATATGAACACAAGGTACCTGGGGTGTTGTATCCCTCTCAGTCGGAAAGAAGCCCGCCTCCTACTTGGTCTAAATCGTGTCAATGGGGGCGTAAAAACTCCTACATTTTAAAACAGTAATTGGTCTATCATCATTCTGTCTCAACTCTATTTAGCGCGGGAGATACAGGGGCGGGGAGGGGAGGGGATTTTTTTCTAATGTAGGTGCTTTTATTTTAAACCCCTATCGACAAAATGTAGTGTAGATTATTTAGGAGCTAGGCTTCCGTCTGTGTCTGTCATGGCTAACCCGGGCTGAAAAAGATATATTATCTCAGACAAAGACCGAGATATTCAATTTTTAAGATTCTCCGCATTCGGGAATCGAACTCGGGTCTCCTGCACTCGAAAGCGAAGCGCCTAACTAACTGCTGTACCATAGACGCCGATCAGCTGAGCAGGGGAGCAGGGTGTGTGGGGTGTGTGAATTAATTAGACCCCCCCTCCTTTTCGCCCCCCCCCTTCCCCTCTGGGCTTACACCACGGTGTCAGCAATGCGCCAGCTAACAGGACCTGGCTGTCTGATCTACTGTGGCTGTCCATGAGCTGACAAATAGAGGCCGACTGGCAACACAGGCAGAGTCATTCTTCCCGCCCACCTCGCTCCTCATGAATATTCAATACCGTGTCCTAAATCGACGAGAAGCCTCATTACTATGCATTAAATCACGTCGTCATGGGGTTACTGCGGTGGAGCAGGGTGTCAAAATGGGTTTACTCATTGATTTGAGCCGGGATAATCAGTATGATCAAGTCCGGTGTGTCAATGTATGTGGCGTCTACGACCCATGGGGTGCTGGCTGGGCTTGTTTGAAGCATATCTCCCGAGGTTTACAGGGTACGATTCTTTTAAAAACACATAGTCGTCATTCATAACACTGCTTTTTTGCTCATTTGTTACCAGCGGTCAGTGCTCTGATTTAGAGGTCTCGCTCACGCTCCAATTGACCAGGGGTGGGGGTGGAAGAAGACGGGAGTTGAGTTATTTTATCTCGCAGCAAAGAAGTTCTGCCTCCCAGTGTCAATAGTATTATTGTACTTCCGTGATTTACTTAGCATCTGGTCCTTGAGTACATTCCTCTCTCAGGTCTTGACGTTGTTGTTGTTTGTTGTTGACTGTTTGCTGCCCTGGGTGGTTGGCGGGTGTTTTAGCGTGGTTTGCTTCTTCTTATTTCCTTTCATACGTCCCTATCCCTCCACACCCCCCTCTTTTTCTGTTCTGTGTATGTTACTCTCTAGAAACACCTCTAACCTTTTTGTTCTTATGTGACCTAATTGTTTTACAAGTGCCGTAAAACACTTAATAAAACAAAAACTACTGCTGTGCCACTAAATTGTTCTGGGATTAGAATATTTTATCAAAACTCGGAGGATCTTATTTCTGGGCCAATGACGTCACGGGCGGTTGGAGGACGCCACTTCGCTACATCAGAATTACAAAGTTTTATCTGACATTATTGAGGGGCTCTCGTGGCCTACAGGTTAAGGTGTTCGCCTCACATTCAAAGGTCCCGGGTCCGAATCCAGGTAGCGACGGAAAAATGTCCTTCTCTAAAATTGTCTCCTTTCTCCTCCTTTCCTGTTATCTAGCAATGTTCTGTAGTCTGCTTTCGTCTACACTTTCTACCCCCACCCCTTTAACTCCTTTGACCCCTCCTCTGGGCTCCGGACTCTTTTTACAGCCTTTCTACTGCTACTCCTTGGCTCCTTCTTTCTGCTGTCTTTCTGTCACACCCCTGATCTTCCTGGAAGGAGAGATCTACACCTAGCCTTTTCGGACAATGGCGAAAAATCTCGGAGGTCCCGTGTGCCAGTTGCGCACGTTAAAGATCCCTTGGTGATCTAAAATTGATGAGAGTAAGTTTCGCCCGCAACCCGGGCAATTAATATCAAAATGTCCTACCAACTGAAAATGTTTAATGTGTCCTGCACGCTCATATGACTTTATGCAGTTGCGAGTGCCGTAAAACATTAGCCAAAAAAGGAGACATTTTTGGTCCCTTTTGTGTTACTACGACCATGAGGTCAGAAAACAAATGTTCCATCTGCTCTATTAAAATCGTAAAATTATTCGGAGTCGTTATCGAGATATTATTCAGAGGATTGCATTTAAAAAAGCTTTACGTGTTGTGAAACTCAAGGCATTTGACGTCAGATTTCCCAAAACTAGGTATTGTGAACTTTGTAACTCTGAGGTGGTGTCTTGTAAGTCTTACTTCTTTCCTTTCCTTCTGTTGTTTCTGACTAATTGTCTTGCTTCTTTATTGCACTACATTGTGATATGATGACCTTTGTTACTCCGATGTGTTTCTCTTTACTGAGACTCTCAGACTCAGACAATGACGTCAGACAATATTATGAGGCATCGTGGTGAAATCAACCGCTTGTCAAGATAATGAAATCAGTGAAATCTGCATTTATATGGACGTTGGTCAATTTTTTCGAATTTTATGTTTTCTGTTTTAGCTCAACATCTTTAATGCCCGTTAAAACACATTTATGTGTGAATTTTACTGAAATAACGTTGATCAGAGGCACTATAAAAATGTTATTTTGCATTTTCCAAGGACTCTCAAGCTTTGGTAGTCACCGATCTTTGTCGACCATTTTCTCGCTAATATCACTTCTGAAGCCAAGCAACACAATCTCCTTCAATTGCAAATATCTCGACTCCTATTCAAGATAGATTGTACTTTTTTCAACGACAGCAAGACAAATGAACAAGTTTTATGATGGTAGCAATAACTCCGCATGCCCAAAAATTGACAAGCGCCTGATTCCACCACGTCATGACACATAATAATTAGTACTTTTGAGAAACTGACAGCAATGTTCCAAGTCCCTCGCTGGTGTCAGGATGGCAGCTCTGTAATCTCGGGCTATGAGAGGAATCACTTTGTTTGTCTCTGCCATTTCGCTACTGATATACGATGCTTGGACTATACACCCTACCCCCACCCTGTCTCTGTGTCTCTGCCTTTCTTTCTATCTCTCTCTTTTTCCCCTTCTCTATCTCTCCGTCTCTTTCTTTTTCTTCATTTCTCTCTTCCTCTTCCCCTCTTCTCTCTCTCCCTCTTTCAGCCTCTCTCTCTCTCTCTCTCTCTCTCTCTCTCTCTCTCTCTCTCTCTCTCTCTCTCTCTTTCTCTTTCTCTTCCCCTCTTATCTGCCCCCTCTCTCTTTCTTACGTATAACACCTCTCTGTCTCTGACCCTCCTCTCTCTCTCTTTCACTCTCTCTCTCGCTCTCTCTCTAACTCTCTCTCGCTCTCTCTCTCTCTCTCTCTCTCTCTCTCTCTCTCTCTCTCTCTCTCTCTTCCTCTGTCTCTTTCTTACCCCCCACCTCCCTCTCCCTATATATCTCTCACTCTCTCTCTCTCTCTCTCTCTCTCTCTCTCTCTCTCTCTCTCTCTCTCTCTCTCTTCCTCTGTCTCTTTCTTACCCCCCACCTCCCTCTCCCTATATCTGTCTCTCTGTGTTTTTCATTTGAACCTGCTCTGACAAAAGACACCCAGATCTGTCGTTGGCATATGGCTCGTCTTTGATGAATTCTCAGCCTGTGTGATGTCTGACTAGATCTCTTTACGTCTTTTTCCATTTCACTTGTTGATTTTTTTCTTCTGTTTTTGCCACTTCGTCACCCTAGAATCACAAACTTCTATCTGCTCAGTACCTAGTTTTGAGGAATTGGACGTTAAGAAAAATTGGCCTTTCACAATATGTCAAGCTTTTTCGAATGCAATTCTTTGAATATCTTAATAACGACCAGGGGCGAAGCGTCTATATAATCAAATAATCACTGCTTCCCTTCCTAATTTTGAAACATTGTCGCAACGACTCAATATAATCATACGATCTTGATAGAGCAGATAGAGCATTTGAGTTCTGATCTCGTGGTCATAGTAACTCAAAACGGCCAAAAAATGTCAGATAGAACGTTGTAATTCTGAGGCAGCGACTCGTCTCTTGCGTCGAGTTTGATGAACTTGAAAAGTCCGTGTAATCGCAGTCACATTTATTTTACCATCTATGAAACTTAAAACAATGGGTGAAAGGGCATTTGAATAACAAGGCCCCCAGGTCTGGAATGCTTTACCGAATATTTTAAGAGAGATCAAATCTTTTGATTCATCCAAATGTCAGCTGAAGTCGTTCCTGTTGTTAAACTAATAAGATGAATGTTTGAAGTGATTTTCTTTTAGTCAGAACACAAGGTTTTATGTTACTGTTGTACGTTGTACTGTATTGTAAAGTGCTCAGAGCCTGTGTACTCTAATCGGGGTTGAGCGCTATATAAATGTTCGTTATTATTATTATTATTATTATTATTATTATTATCATTATTATTATTAATATTATTTTTATTATAGTATATCTTTCACAATTTAAATTCAAAAGGTTGGGGAAAAAAGGAAACAAGAAAAGGAACGTTGCGTTGGTAGGATTGTACAAAGAATGAAGTTTTTATTTCCTTTCTCCAGGATTTTTTGGGGTCTTTCTGAGCTTCTAGCCCTTAAATGTCGGTGGCCTAGTGGTTAGGCACTCGGACTCGCAGCCGTAAGGTCGTGGGTTCGAATCCTGTCAGGGGTCCGGCGTTGTGTCCTTGGGAAAGGCACTTTACACGAATTTCCCTCACTTCACCCAGGTGGGAATGGGTACCCGGCTATAGACAGCGAAAGATCTTGTCAGTTTGTTAGTGTTTGAGCCTGAGAATGTTTCGGAGTGTTCAGTGGTCTGCTGGGGTAATAATATAGTGTAAAGCGCAGAGAGCTTGCTGTTGGGCGGGGATATGCGCTATACAAATGCTATTTATTATGATGAATACCTTGACGCTGATATTGCTTTGTTTGAGAAAGGAGAAACTTTCTTGCGGACATTTTTTTAAATTAAGTAGATGAAATCTGGACACGTTGTCAAGTACTAGTCTTATTCTTCAACATATTTGTCAGACGTCGGGGATCTATTGATCTTGGGATGATCATAATAGGTTTATGTTTTAGTAGAGGTTTTATGGCGCTCGCAACTGCATAAGGTCATAGGAGCGCTAGAAGATTAGAGGTGTGACAAGAGAGTAACAAACATAAAAAAGAAGGTGGGAAGATAAGGGCGATAGATGTTTGATAGGAAAGAAGAAGCAAACCACACCAGAGCAACCGCCAACCACCCACATATTATGTTTATGGCCGGGGATGAGTTCCAGACACCGTCATGTCGTTAGCCATTGATCCAGCCGTCAGTCATTAGTACATGTCCATTATGTTCTCGTTATTCTGTTGTTTCATTTCCTTGTTAGCGAGGAGATAGATCTCTCGGCGTAGTTGTCTCAGGGTGTCTGTGTGTGAGCCAAGGATCTCTGTGTGTGAGTGTGTATGTGTGTGGGAGGAGGGGAGTACGGTTTGTGTGTGTGTGTGTGTGTGTGTGTATGTGTGTGTGAGTGTAGGTGGGTGTTAGAGTGTGTGTGAGTGTGGGTGGGTGTTAGAGTGTCTGTGTGTGAGCCAAGGATCTGTGTGTGTATGTGTGTGTGTGTGTATGTGTGTGTGTGTGTGTGTGTGTGTGTGTGGGTGTGTGTGTGTAGGGGGGTGGATGGGTGGGTGTTAAAGTGTGTGTGTGTGCCTG